TCTTTCCCTCTGATATGTGAGCTAGCATTCCATCATCAATCAGATATGTAAACAAGGAAATGGTAACTTTATTTAATTTAATTATATTATGTTTAATCAGATTCTATTAGTTTTTACTCACCATTAAAGAAACAATTGGCACCTGACATAAAGCAAGGATACAATTGGCAAAACAATTTAGTTCACACTTTTTTATTCTTAAATAACTTGAGATACGAGACATATTAGGATTAATAAGGCTTCTCTCATTAGCTTTTCTTTTCTATTTTCCTCTGTACCTATATTTGTCTTAGTTTTAGATTAGATAGTCCTAACCATGGTTAGTTAGATTATTATTTTTTTGATTACTTATAATTGTGTATAAAACGATAATCATGCTCTCTATGAATGAGTATGATACAAGATGATAATTTCTCTCACATAACAATGAGCATGGTATCATCGTGTAACTATTCTTCGCTTCTGCATTGTTCTCTGTTTCGCCAAGTTTTCCTTTTCGTCTATTGTTCTCTTTTCTGATCAACAATGGCAAATTCAATTCAACTCGCACTTGCCGATCACCTCGTCAATCCAGCGAATCCTTTGTTTCTTCATCCAGGAGAAAATCCAGCTTTAGTTCTTGTAACACCTTTGCCTTTCGATAACAATTTTCCACAATGGAAGCACAACATGCTCGTAACCCTTGAAACCAAGAATAAGGATCAGTTTGTTCTTGGAACCCTAACCTGTCCAAATCTCTTCGATCCTCTTCACAAAGCATGGTGCTGCTGCAACAAAATGGTTATGTCATGGCTTGCGCACTCAATGGCTCCTTCAATTCGTCAATCTGTTATGTGGATCGAGTCGGCTTCAGAAATTTGGAGAGACCTTTGTGATCGCTTCTCTCATGGCGATAAATTTCGCATTGTTGATCTGCAAGAAGAATTGCAAAATTGAAAACAAGGTGAGCTTACTGTTTCACAATATTACACTCGTCTGCGTATACTTTGAAAAGAATTGTCAATATATCACACAGTTTTGGCTTGTTCTTGCCCTGTTGCATGTTCTTGTGGAATATTTTCCAAGATTTAGAAGGAATGTGATGATGATTGCGTAATCAAGTTCTTGCGAGGACTCAATGATGAATTCTCTCAAGTTCGTTCTCAAGTAATGCTTATGGAACCTATGCCTGGCCTCACTCGCACTTTTTCTCTTGTTCTTCAGCAAGAACGTGAGTTTGGAGGTTCAGTTCCTCCAATTCCACAAGAATCTGCAGCTCTGGCTACATTCAATGATGATTCTGCTCGCAACAATTCTTCTACTCGTGGTGGATTCTCTAATACTCGTGGTAGTGGTCGTTCTGGTAGAGGCAACAATACAGGCAGATCTACCAGATTTTGCACTAAATGTAAAAAGACAAATCATACCATTGACACATGTTTTCAGATTTATGGTTTTCCACCGGGGTACAGGACAAATGGCAAGAATACTTCCACTACTTCAAACACTTCAAAGCCTTCTGTGAACAATTTTGATTCTACTACTTCTCTTGTATCTACCACTTCTGTTAAGGATGACGTCACGTCTCAGAACACTTTCAATTTTTCCAAGGATCAATATCAAGCATTATTGGCCTTGCTTCAACAGTCACAAGATCCCTCTCCCTCTGTTAACAGTGCTCACAAATGTTCTGTGAGCACTCCAGGTATCAACTTGTTCCAATCCTCTTGGATTCTTGATAGTGGTGCTACTGACCATATTTGCCCTTCAAAATCATATTTCTCTTCTTTGATTCCTATAAAACCTATTTCAGTTAAATTTCCTAACAACCAATCTATTTTTGCTTGTTATTCTGGTACTATTCACCTTGGAAATCTTACTCTTTATAATGCATTATATGTTCCTGATTTTTCTGTTCACCTAATCTCTATTCCAAAACTTGTTACTACTCTCAATTGCATTGTTATTTTTTGTGAATATGATTGTATCATTGTGCAGAGGCATACCTTCAAGATGATTGGAGCAGCTAAACAACAATCTGGCTTGTTTCAACTCTTACAACACAATGATTCACTTGGTTTTTCTGCTACTAGCAACAATTGTACCACTATTTTAGCAACTACTCTTAATGATAACTTTACTAACACTAAATCTGTATGGCATGCAAAATTAGGACATCCTTCAAATAAAGTTCTTCAGACGTTGTCTTCCCAATATACTTCAATAAAATTTCCTTTAGTTCATGTATGTGACATATGTTCTTTTGCCAAACAAAAGAAATTACCTTTTCCTGACAGCACTAGTATTACCAATTTCTTTTTTGAACTTATACATGTGGATATTTGGGGACCACTTGCTATTTCATCCATTGAAGGTTACAAGTATTTTTTAACTGTAGTTGATGATTATAGTCGTTTCACATGGATTCATTTGTTAAAATCTAAGCAGGAAGTCAAATCTTTATTGCCAAATTTTATCATTCTCATTGAGAATCAACATGATTGCAAATTAAAACGTTTAAGATCAGATAATGGTAAGGAATTTATTCTCACTAATTTTTATAATGCCAAGGGCATCCTTCATGAAACAAGTTGTGTTGAAACCCCTCAACAAAATGGTATTGTTGAGAGGAAACATCAACACTTATTAAATGTCTGTAGAGCATTGCTTTTTCAATCTCAGATTCCTAAAACTTTTTGGTCTTATGCTATAAAACATGTTGTCCACATTATCAACAGACTTCCTACTAGATTTCTTAAACAAAAATCTCCTTTTGAAATGATTTATCATCATAAACCTGATCTACATGACTTAAGAGTTTTTGGTTGTCTTGCTTATGCCTCAACTCTTGCTGCTGGCAGAACAAAATTAGCTCCTCGAGCTTCTAAATGTATATTTCTTGGATATAAATCTGGCATTAAAGGATATGTTCTTTACAATTTACATTCCAGATTCTTTTCTTTATCTAGGAATGTTGTTTTTCATGAAACTGTATTTCCCTATTCTGATTTTCATAAATTTTCCTCTAATTCTGATGCCATACTCACTGAATCTACTAATGACTTTGCGCATTATGAACTTTATCCCATTACTATTTTGGAAACAACTAACACACACACCTCTAGTGAACAATTACAGCAACCTTTAGCAGAAGAAATGCAAGACATTCCTATGCAACCAAGAGCCTCTAGTGAACAATTACAACAACCTTTAGCAGAAGAAATGCAAGACATTCTTGTGCAACCAAGAGTTTCTACAAGACAGAAATTTAGACCCAACTACCTTGATCAATATCACTATTACAGTGCCACTTCTTCTAACTCTGCTTGTCTTTATCCATTGCATTTATACCTATCTTACAATAAATGTTCTTCTAACTACACTGCCTTTTGTCTTTCTATCTCTGCACATGTTGAGCCTTCAAATTATGCACAAGCTATTACTCAAAACTGTTGGAAGCAAGCCATGATGACTGAACTTGATGTTTTGAATCGAAACAGAACCTGGTCTTTGGTTTCACTTCCTCCTAGCAAAAAGTTGATTGGATGCAAGTGGGTATATAGAATCAAATACAAGGCAGATCGTTCAGTTGATAGACATAAAGCTCGTTTGGTAGCCAACGGATTCACTCAAACTGAAGGCATAGATTATTTTGAGACTTTCTCACCAGTTGCTAAATTGACAACTGTAAGGTTTCTCCTGGCTCTAGCTTCCACTAACAACTGGTTTCTACATCAATTGGACGTAGACAATGCTTTTTTACATGGAGATTTAGAGGAAGAGGTTTACATGAGGCCTCCTCAAGGACTTCAATTACCTGATTCCAAACTTGTTTGCAAATTGGAAAAGTCATTATATGGCCTAAACCAAGCTAGCAGAAATTGGAATCAGAAATTGAATTCTGAATTGCTTCATTTGGGTTATAAACAAAGTTCAGCTGATCATTCTTTGTTTATCAAGAAACAAGGTTCTTCCATCACAATTCTGCTTATCTATGTTGATGATGTCGTTTTGAGTGGGAATAATTTTTCAGAAATCCAAATTGTTAAACAACATCTCCATCAGAAATTTCAGATTAAAGATCTTGGTCCTTTGAAATTTTTCTTAGGTCTTGAAGTGGCTAGATCTAAGAAGGGGATCATTCTAAATCAAAGAAAATATTGTTTAGAGCTTATTGATGAATCTGGTTTACTTGGCTCTAAACCAGCACCTACACCAGCTGATCCTGCTATAAAACTGCATGCAGACCATGGTTCCCTCTTAAATGATCCAACTAGCTTTAGAAGATTAATTGGCAGATTACTTTATCTTACTAACACAAGGCCAGACATTAGCTTTTCAGTCCAACAGCTGAGCCAATTTGTTTCTCAACCCCGAGAACCACATCTACAAGCAGCCTTGAGAATTGTTAGATACCTTAAAGGAGCACCAGGCCTTGGTCTGTTCTATCCTGCTGATAATCATCTCAGAATTCAAGCATTTTCTGACTCAGATTGGGCCACTTGTTCAACTACACGAAAATCAGTCACAGGCTATTGTGTTTTCCTTGGCAAATCACTTGTTTCTTGGAAATCAAAGAAGCAGTCTACTGTCTCAAGATCTTCCTCTGAAGCTGAGTATAGGGCTTTAGCTTCCCTTACTTGTGAACTCCAATGGTTGAAATTCCTATCTGACAGTCTTTTTGTTAAGATTCCAACCCCATTTTCTGTATTTTCTAATAGTCAATCTGCTATCCAAATTGCTAAAAATCCTACCTTCCATGAGAGAACAAAACACATTGAGGTGGATTGTCATTTGATTCGTATCAAACTTCAAGAAGCATTATTGCATCTTATTCATGTTCCTTCAACAAATCAGCTAGCCGATGCATTCACTAAATCCTTGTATCCAAAGCTTTTCCTTCATGCTATCTCCAAGTTGGGTTTATCCAATATACATGGCCCAACTTGAGAAGGGGTATTAGGATTAATAAGGCTTCTCTCATTACTTTTTTTTTTCTGTTTTCTTCTGTACCTGTATTTGTCTTAGTTAGTTTTAGATTAGATAGGCCTAACCATGGTTAGTTAGCTTTTTATTTCTTTGACCACTTATACTTGTATATATAACAATAATTCTGCTCTCCGTAAAGCAGTATGATACAAGATGACAATTTCTATCAAATAACAATGAGCACTTTACCTGCTAACAGAATGGAGTTTTCAAATTGGTATTAGTGAATAAAGAAAAAAGGTCGAGAAGTATTCTCAATCATGTTTCCTATTGTTTTATCTACGAGTTAGGGCTAGATGAAGTGGTGAAGGAGCTTTGAATGGATACAAAGAGAAATGTAAATTTAAACTTGAAGATGGGGAATTGGGTATGCGTAATCCATGAAATAAGTTTGGAAAATTCCATTACAATTTGGGAAACTCCATCAAAAGCGTGAATTTGGATGAGGTAATTTAAGGAGTAAATCGTTTTTCTAAAGAATTTTAAATTCTCCGTAGATAAATCATTCTTTTAGACAGGTGATTTAAAATAATTTTAAATTACATCATTTTAATGAAGTGTTTTAATTTACTAAATCAATATAATTTGAAATTCTCTTTGAAAAGGGATGAAATTGAAGTTTTTCACTCTTTTTTATTTGCGACCTTGTTTTCTAGCTCGCAATTCAACTCCTTCCTCTTATCTATTTCAAGTTTGTATTTCTTCTCCTTTAAATCTAGGGTTCTGATTGATTTCTTATTGATCTAGGATTTTATTTTCAATTGTATTTGATTTCAAAACAAGTGAATCACATTATAAGAAGTCCATGAAATCATTGATGACTAAAACTAAAAATTATAAAGTGTTGATCACGACTAGTAGAGATGACATTAATTACATAATATAATAATTATTTATATTAAATTATATTTTTAATCTTTATTTTTATTTCATAAAAGTAGTAAAAGAAAATGAAAATGGAATAAATATGAGAGTAAAAGTGAAATTTAATTTAAACATCATTAAATATTAATTATTATATCATATATTTAATATCATATTATAATTAATATTACAATTTTAACGGTCAATGAATGAATATTTAGTAAAGAAATCAAAATTATAAATTTTATAAATTTTTAAAATTAAAATTGGAGATCAAAATAGTAAAATATTAAAAAAAAAATAGAAAAAATAAAAAAATTGCAAGTATTTAAGTATCATAGTGAACAAATTGTTAGTCCAAATTATATTAGGTTGAAAATTTTCAATCTAGGTTAATGAACAATAAAATTAGTAAACATTTAACACCAATATATAATAAATACATGAGGTGAGAAAAAATGGTGGTGAAGTAGGGCGTAATAGTTGTAATCAACGTAAAACTCGGTCATAGTTTGATGTTACGGTTGTGTGTAGCACCGAAAGCGTTAACAGCAAGAAACAAACACTAGAAAATCTCCCGCCACCAATAGAATCCTCTGAGAGCTTTGGGTCTGAGCTGTAAAACGACGGCGCTTTGAGAAAAATGTCGATGCAGATTGAATTGATCGAGCTTAACACCGGAGCCAAGATCCCTTCCCTGGGCTTGGGAACGTGGCAGTCCGACCCTGGCCTCGTCGCTCAAGCCGTCGCTGCCGCCATCAAGGTTCCCATTGCCGTTTTCCCATTCCTTCTCTTTCTTTTACCATTCCTTACGTACAAATTCATCACACACAGATAATCATATATATATAGAGAGAGAGAGAGAAAGAGTTACCTTTACCTTGTCCCTTCAATTTGAAGGTTGCATGTATATTTTTTTAAAACCTATATAGCTTAAAAATGTTTTTATCATTATAAAAAGAGCAAATTTTGTATTTTTTTTTGTTTTTTGTTTAAATTTTCATTAATTTTGGTCACACTGCTATGTGACACACACTTTAAACTCAGTCTTTTTTTTTTTTTTTTTTTTGTGGTTTTGTATGGAGGTATGACTGCTTCCCACCAGGTTGGCTTTGAAAGGAGTAAAGTGGTATAACTTTATATTCAAGTTGAGAATCAAACTCTAGTCTTTAGTTGAGGATTCCTGGTGAAAAATCACTTGAGTTAATGACTTTTGATTTTTAAAGTGAAAGTTAAGCTAGCATTAAGTGAATTGTATTGGTTACTACTGTATATGATATGTGTTAAAATGTGACACCTCTAAAATAACTAAGAATTATTTGCCAATCTTAAAATGGTCATTAAAGATTAAAGTTACTCATTTCATAAGAATGAAAATTAAAGAAAAATATTCTGTTTAGAATAAAATTAAAATTGGCTTGGCTTTCAAGGATCAAAAATAGAGATTTTAAACTTTAAAGGATGAAAAAAGTTTTTTGGATAACCAAAATAAAACTCACTCATTTTGTATGGACTAAACATATTTAAGCCCATATATATACACAGAGGGACGATCAAGTTACTCCAAAATCTAGAATTATAAATGCATTTTATTATCTGAAGTGTGTCACTTGTTTTGAAGAGTCAAATCCTGTTGTGGCACCTACCACTACTGAGATATTGCAGCCATATCACAATTTAAAAGCTTGGATCATGGAGTTAGTTATATTTAGTGGATACGGTTGCACAATGCTTCTGTAATTCGGTTTTTATTATTTATCTCATTCTGCTGCTTCTTGTAATTTTCACTTCTTTAGAAATCTGCATTACAGGGAATTCTCTGAATTAGTTTCGTTTTTGGAATTCAATCTATATTTCTTCTAATCCAAATAGGAGGATTTGGTTTCTTGATACACTGGGTTTATTTTCTTGAGAATTCTATTTTCAGTTTCTCACTTTGTCAACTGGTAATGCTTCTCTCCTTTTGTATGAGTCTTTGGAAATCGTTTACTACCTACCACCATGGTCAAATCCCTTGTTTGGACTATTGTTGTTAATAGTTTTGAGTCCAGTGATTTACTTCAAAATTCGAAGATTTCTATCTTCCTTATATGTGTAGACCAAGTTCTGAAACTGGTCCTCTTTTGTTCTTGCATTGGTCAGCAGTTTCCTTTCTGTGGAATATATTGTTTTGCACAAATTGGTGAACAATGGTTTTTCCCCAAGGATCTTTATGAGTTATGTGTTAACTTTAAAGGATTTGGCACTAGGAGAGACTACAAAAAGCTTTGGCATTATTGTCAGTTTGCGGTTTATTGGTGTATCTGGTTGGAAAGAAATATTAGAATCTTTATTGAATGGCAGTTTTCTAACAAGTTCAGTTGGGATTGAGTAGTTTTTCTTGCTTCTTTGTGGTGTTCTATTCATGGTTCTTTTAGGAGGGTATCTTTATTAGATATACAGAGAGATTAACGTACTGGGTTTCATGCTTCTTGTGCTAAGTTTTCTAGTTTTATTCCTTTAAGTTTTGATCTTGATTCATTAGTTCTTGAAGAATTTCTTATCCTCTTGCATCTGTAACTTTCTCTTCCATCTTAATAAATTCTCTATTTATCTAAAGAAGATTATTATTCTCTGTTTTGCAGTTGTAACAACCAACTAGTTTCAGTTTCCCTCTTTCTACATTCATATATAAGCTATAGCAGCATATCTAGTGAGAGGACCTTTTTTAATGTTGAGAGTGAGAGGAATACATATTGACCAATAGATCATACCACAAATAGTAAAGATTATAATAACTAAGTCATGTGAAATTTCTAAAAGTCATGTGACTTTTTACGTAGTCACATGGCATTAGATTTTGACCATCCATATATGGCTGTATAGCTTAGATTTACTCTTCGCAGTCTCAAATAAGAAAAGTTCCTCTCAATAAATATATATCAGCTAAATTAGTATCAATTTTCACAATTACTCAATTTGGAAATCTATTGTTCAATATAATGTCCTTGATTTGATCAATTTGATGCAGGTTGGTTACCGCCACATTGATTGTGCTCAAGTCTATGGCAACGAGAAGGAGGTAATAGTCACAAATTAGTGAATCACAACTAGGTGTTCTTGTTGTGTTCATTTGGTGTTGTGTTATCTTGATTCAACAACATAACTAGCTTTCTGAAGTAAATGATTGAAAGTAATATTGGTCATGTCATGTATGAAGGAATTGATTCATTCTTTCTGTTGCAGATTGGCTCTATCTTGAAGAAGCTGTTTGGGGAGGGTGTAGTGAAGCGCGAGGATTTGTGGATTACATCTAAACTCTGGTTTGGTTTTAGATTCGAGATTGTTGAAAATCAGTAAAGAATGTATTCATTTATTGTATGGTACTAAATAGGAAAATGTCATAATTTAAGGGAAATAAAATATCTCCTATTCATGCATATTTCATGTTTCTCTCTCTCTCTCTCTCTCTCTCTCTATATATATATATATATATATATATATCTTTTAACATAGATTAATTAGTTTGCTTTCCATTTTTAAGCTAAATTGATAGTTCTGGTAGATTCATGACTGTGATAGTCTTCATGGCTTAGAACTAAAGGATTTAAGATGATATGTAGGAATACTGATCATGCTCCCGAAGATGTACCGCTTGCATTGGACAGGACTTTGAAAGATTTGCAGCTTGATTATGTAGATTTGTATCTTGTATGTAATATCACTCAATCTCATAGCTTTTCACTACCTGTTTGGTGTTAGACTTAAAGCAAAATTGATGATTTTATTACCCCCAATTTCTCTCTTGGTTGAACATGATGATTATTTCGTCCAAATTTTATTTCAAAATTTGGGGTGGACATGTAGCCTGGAATGTGGATTTCAGGGGAACATCCCTTTGATGTTCTCTTATCCTGAAAGTATAAAGCTAATTAAACTGTGAACTTTTATTGTAGGTGAATCACTATCATGGCCATTGCTAGGTTAAAAATAGAATGCAATGCATAATGCTTTTTGAAAATGCTATATGCATAATAATGTCAGAGTATGTCTCATGAGTACAGATTAGTCATTGGTTATTAGCTTGGAGACACTATGTGAACAATGTCTATGAACCAAAAAGAGCCAAGTGTCTCATACTTGTCCACTGAATGTCTCTTGTCTAGAGAGTCTGATGGAAACTGGAGCAGAATTATACAAAGAAAGGCTCCTATAACAAAAAATAGTACAAATGATTCTCAAGACTCTCAAGAGGCCTGAACCTTCCGACAAGAATCTAATTCCATCTCAAATCACAAGATATCTCCCTCTCAGCCCCTTTTATTATTTATAGGCAACATGTCGTATTTCTCTAATTATCTAAGCACCAAACTAACTCTCTAATTATTCTACTAACTATCTCCGACCGTCAAACTCCAATCTCTTAACCAACTAATTTATGGGTATCTATTAGAGTCTAAATTAGCATTTCCTGCATATGCTGCCTTGTTTAGCAGCTTTTATTTTATTTATCTTTATTCATTTTTCCCTTCTAATGCATGCAGGGTTTTACTTTTTTTAAAAAAAAAAAAATTGGTGTATTAGTAGTTTATTTATGACATACTCAGTTGTAAGTTGATGATTTTTCCTTTTCAGATCCACTGGCCTGCTCCAATGAAAAAAGGATCAGTTGGCTTTAAGCCTGAAAATCTTGTGCAACCAAACATACCTAGCACATGGAAGGCAATGGAAGCACTCTATGACTCTGGCAAGGCCCGGGCTATAGGTGTAAGCAATTTTTCCACCAAGAAGCTGGCGGATTTGCTGGAAGTTGCTCGAATTCCTCCTGCTGTCAACCAGGTTGAGTGCCATCCTTCGTGGCAGCAGGACAAGCTGCAGGCTTTCTGCAAATCCAAAGGTGTCCACCTCTCTGTAAGTTTACAACTCTAAACTCTTGAATGATCTATATTTTGTGTCCGCCATTACAGTGGCTATTTTCATATACCAACCTGTTTGCTGCCATGAAACATTATTTGTGTATATAATTTTTTGTCTAATTTCATCTGCGATCTTTTAAATGTATGTTCAGGGATATTCACCTTTGGGTTCCCCTGGAACAACCTGGGTCAAAAGTGAAGTCCTTAAGCAACCAATTATAAATATGATTGCAGAGAAACTAGGCAAGACTCCTGCACAAGTAGCTCTTCGCTGGGGACTGCAAATGGGCCATAGTGTGCTCCCCAAGAGTACAAGTGAAGCAAGGATAAAGGAAAATTTTGATGTTTTTGGCTGGTCTATACCAGAGGACTTGTTCGCTAAATTTTCTGAGATTCAACAGGTCAGTATTTGATGGTTAACCAGAGTCTTTCTAGCATTTTAAAACCTGAATATAGTAACTATGACATGTTTAGATAAACTTCTCCATAAATACTTATAGGAAAAATTAAGAAGAAAAAATGAAAAAAAATAAAATAAAATTCTCTAACAAGCTACAACTAACTTATGCACAAGTTAAAATTAAGTTTTTGGAGAAGGTAATATGAGAGAGCCACAAATTAGCTAATGTATAGACTAATTTTAGCTCTTGGAAAAACTTATTTATTTTTTTCTTATAGAACTACTTATGAAGAAGTTTATCAAAATAGACCCTATATTTATATGAGTTTAATGCTCATATATTAATCACGGTTTATAATCAAAGGTCATTAGTTCAAATGTTTAAACACTTATATTCTTATATTCCTTGATCAAGGACCACGGTTTGATTCTTGACTTGAGTATGGAATCATGATCTGAAGTACCATTTTAGTCCTGTAGGGGCCGATTTGACGTGTGAAATCTATTTTCATGGAAGCATAGTAAAGTTTTATGACTGGTGGTTCTTGTTGCAGGCAAGACTACTCAGGGGTACCTCATTCGTCCATGAAACTTATGGTGGCTACAGAACTATTGAGGAATTATGGGATGGTGAAATCTGAGCAGCCTTCTCTATAAATTTCATAAAAGTGAATGGACAGCAGAATAGGAGTTTGTCCTGTCTTCGGGTATAGGGTTCTGGGAAACTCTGAATAGGTGTACTGCTTTAGTTAAACTCACCTAATATTGTTGATTTTTTTACTTGATCAATTTTGATTACTATACTCATTGATATCTCTCTTTTCAACTCTTTAGTATTGTTTGAATTCTGATGTGGTTTCCACTAATAGAGAGTGGACTTACGGTTATAGTAGAGTTCGTGTGGAAATTCACTTACGAATAAATAAAAAAATATATATTGCCAAAGATTGTGTTGGCAGCACTCTTATTTTATGTGCAGATCCCCTTTTCAAAAGGTCATCATTTTGAGCACGCAATGAGTCCATGCATAACTTGAGGCAATATTAAAGAATATTGAAAATAAGATGATAGGTGTACTAAAAATTAATCATATGACAACAATTAACGCTGATCTCCAAGAAATACTTGCATCTTTATTTTTTAAAAAATATTCTTCAAAGAATTTGTCAACCATTGAATTTATGTGAACCTGTTATTATCAAGCCTATGTAGTATTCTCGTAATTTGACTCAAATAAAATAGTCGGTCAATTCGATGGTAAACCAGTCATGTAATTGGTTGAAATAACATGTTACTGACATGAACTGTACAAAAACAGACATATCAGATACTAATACGGGACAAAAATATTGACGTATCTGTGCATTAGTTGATGTAAGGTTATGTTCATGGACTGGTTTTGAATTTGAGTTGTAGGTATCCAATTATGTTAAATATGTAGAAGAGGAATTTTGTCGTTTAGAAAGAACTTACCCGATTTGAACAAAATTATCTTTAATAGAAGATATTTATAGTATAAACTAAAAATGTTTATGCTCGTGAACTGGTGGTGTGATCTAACTAGTTGGCTGTATGAAAAATTAGTGATTTTGATAGTTCAAAAGAAATGAGTCACATCTTTGAAAAACAAGATAAGTGCAAGGAACATGGTGGGAGAGTAAATTATGCATCACCTCATGGTGGAGTGTGTTTATATTAGGATTAGAGATGACAAAATGGATCATATTTTGCTTGTCTGCCAAAAGAAAAATTGGCAAGTTGAATGAAACATTCTATCCTACCTAATCCATTTTATTATCCCTAATATATATAGCATCTTACTGCCAGCTTAAAATAGAGCTACAGACATAGAAATGTCAAGATTTCAAGGAAAAGCAATGCAGTTTAAAAGACACTAGAGAAAGATGGATGAAATGCAATGCATTTTGGGCATTACCAACATATTAATCATCATTTGACATTTTTTATGAGCGGAATTTATTTGACATTTGAAGAATTAAATTAAAAGTCTTTATCGAATAAATCAAGTTATTTTATTTTATTTTTATTTTTTTTATTTTATAAAATTATATCTATTTAATACTTCATTAAATAAATTATATTCAATGCATGATATATTTTTAATTTTTTTAATATAGATCCACAATAAAATTACCTAATTACAAATTTCTAATTTATTTAAAAGTTGGTAATCATGATCGTTAAGATAATATTAAAATATTTAATTATTATATTAATCAATTTTAATATATATATATATATATATATATATATTATAGAGAAAGAGATAATTATTGAAAAAAGTAAATCGAGCAAAAAAAAAATTATCACATATTTGAAAAATATATGGTCAATTTAGCTCATAAAATTGGAATTATAGTTCAAAAATGTAATTCCAATTTGAATTATGTTAGAATTTGATTTAAGTTGTTTATCATAATTTTTATGTTTGAATTCCACAACAATTTAGACCATAACACCATACTTTAAAGTTAAATTCCAATTTCCCTTTGAAATCACTAATTAGAGATACTAATCAATGAATTTACATTAAATTTGAGAAAAAAAAAAAGAAAAAAAAATAACTCTCAAGTAATAGTAGTATTGATAGTGGTGACAATAACTAGGTGAGAGGAAGGAAATGACTGTAACTAAGATGAAAAAATGATGATTGATGATAGTAGCGAAAAATATAAGGATGATATCGATATAATAAAAGGAATAATTATTGTGACAATAGTCACGAGACAAGGGTGATGACAATAATTATGTCAATATTTAGTTGTGGTGATGATTGCTGCAAAGATGGTAGTAAGGGTGGTGACGGTAATAGCTTGGTTGTACTTGTAAGGTAAGAAGAATTGTGGTAGTTAATGGTGGTTAGGAGTGAACAAGAGTCAATTTGCTCCTTAAACCCATTTGAACCCTAAATTATTTTAGGTTCAAATTTTAAAAAATTAGACTTGGTATAGTTTTAGGTCTACTTAATTAGGTTACACTTTAGTTTGTCTTATGTCTCAACCCAATCCAATGTTCTTTATATTTTCTAGAAAATTTTAATTTTTTGAACAAATATATATAAAATTATTTGATAGATAATATTTTGTATAATATAATATTATAATAATTTATTTTTCTTTGAAATATACATGGTAAAATATGCCTTAATTTAACTTTTTTATATTTCTTTTATTTTATAATTTAAAAAAATACAATATTAATATCGGCATAATATAACAGTAGATTAGGTTGACCCAGACCCAATCATGTCCTTTACCATATTTTGATTGGGTAATGTTTGTGTTAAAGAAAATGACATTAACAAATTTTCAACTTAGGTGAGATAGAGATAAACTTTTTTCATGCTCACCCCTCTAATAGTTTTAGTGAAGATAATTAATACTAACAATTACAAGATGACAATGATGACAACGAGAACAATAAAATTAGAATTAATAACCGTGCATTTTATGGAAGTAATGTTAAGAATGATAATCTAGAAGGTAGGTGTTAACAATATTGTAATTTCATTGAATTGTGCCTTCTCTACAACAAAATGTGTTGTTAGAAACATGATAAAAATATTACTAATTTATGAGTAAATGTTGATAATATACTTTTGTGAAATTTGATCAAATGTAAGATAAACTCAATGTTACTAAAGATTTTTAAGTAACATTTTACATATTAATGACAACAACATTCTTAAAAAGTTACTAAAGTGGTATTTTACAACATTTTAATAATGTTGCTAAGTTTTTCTAAAAATTATGAAATCATAATTAATATTAATATATGATTGTATTATCCCTTGTACTTTATGATTTATGAATATTGTCTACAAGTCCTTTAAGGTTGAAGATATCTTTTTTTCTTTTTCTTTTTAAATAGAAGATATACTAGGTTAATCATCATTAAATCTATATCACATATCAAAGTTCATTTATCTTAAATTTAACCCTATGATTATATATATTTTTTATGTATCATTATTTTACTCGACTTTAATTTAGGGAAACAATTAGAATTTCAAAAAATAAGTTCTTTATATATAATTCTTTTATTCGATATGAAACTTAATTTTACGAAATAATTAGAAAGAATAATATTGAAATAAAAAAGGATACTTTATCTATAATAACGTTTTCTAAAAAAAAAAGGGTTTACAATAATCTATTAACTTAGTTTATAATAATATTTTAATAAATGTAAGTTGAGAAATGTAATTTAGTTATGCTTTTCGTTGTAATTCTAAATCCATCATTTTTATATGGAGCTTTCTCTTGCCCTATAAGGTATTTAATCCGTAGATTAGGTTATAATATCAACTTCTACATAGGAAAACATAAGAAGGAGATGTTAAATTATGTTTCAAAATAATTTTGACAAAAAAAAAACTTCTATTACCCAAAGAATCATTTAAGAGAATTATGAGAAGAACACACTAATATACGTAGAACTATAGCTAAAAAAAATGTAATTTCAATTTCAATTTCAATTAGAAAGAGAGGTTATATTATGGTCTAGCTCGTGAAATTGGAATTATAGTTAAAAAGGTAATTTCAATTTCAATAATGTTAGAATTGAATTTAGGTTGTTTATCATAATTTTTATGTTTCGGTTCTATAGCGATTTAGAATATAACATTATACTTCTAAATTAAATTTTAATTTCATTTTGAAGTTACTAATTCGAGATAACAGTAGATGAATTTGTTAAGAAAAAAAATAAACTCAATTTCCAAGTTGTAGTAACATTAATAATGATGATAATAACAAGACATTATAAGAAATGTTACATACAGTAACATATTTTGTATGTTATTATAACTTATACACACACTTTTTAATAATATACTAACATATATTGTATTTATTGTATAAGTAAAAGTAATTTTTAATGACACGTATTGTGTCATTATAAGGTGTATGTCACTATATAATAATTTTCTTGTAGTAAACGAGAAGAAAACAATGATTGCATGTCAAAAAAGATGATTGGTGATAGTGATCACAAATATAAAGATGATAACAATAGTAGTGACAAAAGAGATAATGACAGTGACAATGATAATGAGGTAAAAATAATTATAATAATTAAGTCATATTTAGTTGTGATGATGGTTGTTACAATAATGATAATAAGGGTAGTGATAATGGTTGTTTGCTTGTGTTTGCAAGGCAAGAATGATTGTGATACACTACAAGAAAAACACAAATTTTTGACGGATAATTTTTGACGGATACAAATCCGTCAGAAAATTCGTCAGAAAATAAATTTTCTAACAGAAAATTTCTGATAGATACAAATCTATCAGAAAATTTATATTTCTGATGGATAATTTCTGACAAATACAAATCTGTCAGAAAATTTATATTTCTGACGGATATATCCATCAGTAATTTCCAACGGATACAAATCTGTTAGAAAATTTATATTTCTGACGGATACAAATCTGTCGCTAAATTTATATTTCCATCGGATATATCCTTCGCTAATTTCCGACGAATTTATCCGTCAGAAAATTTATATTTTCGATGAAAAAAATTTGTAGGAAAAGTTATATTACTGATGGAATATTTCCGACAAATTTATATTTGTTGAAAATGTAACAATTTTTTTTCAAAAATTGACAATCATATATTTAAAAAGATCAATAAAATTATATATATAGGATAAATACATTTTTTGAATTTTATATCTTAGATTTAAGATAAATAAATTTATTAAATATTAAGTATTACACCACTCAATAACTTTATATTAAATGAGAATTTTGTAAATTCATTCGTTAAATTGAAAATT